AGTGTGGTGGTATGCACCTGTAATCCCAGCTACTTGGGAAGCTGAGGGAGGAGAATTGCTTGAACCCAGAAGGTGGAGGTTGCTGTGAGCCGAGACCCCCCCAATAAACAACAAAAAGGGTAAAAAGAGGGAAACCCCGTCTCAAAAAAAAAAAAAAAGAGATGGGGTTTCAGCATGTTGCCCAGGCTGGCCTCGAACTCCTGACCTCAGGTGATCCACCCTCCTCAGCCTCCCGAAGAGCTGGGATTACAGGCGTGAGACACCGTGCCCGGCCCCACTGAGTTTTTAACCTGCTCAGGGATGGCAAACAACTTTTGCCATCCTCCATTTCTAGCCTGATTGCTCTTCCCCTAAGCATACCCTATGTCCAGGATATTCTTCCCCATTCTCCCCAAACCCAGTGAGCTTAACCTAGGGCAGGCAGCTCTCCTCTGTAATTTCCCAAAATGCATGTATCTGGAGCCCTTGATGGGTTTTTTGCTGTTATTCTTTTTATACAGACTTCTTGCAGATCCATCTACTTGTATGATTCTCAACTGCTCTGAAGTCAGGATTCTTTTTTTTTTTTGTGAGACAGAGTCTTGCTCTCTCCCCCAGGCTAGAGTGCAGGGGCGCGGTCTCAGCTTGATGCAACCTCTGCCTCCTGGGTTCAAGCAAGTCTACAGCTTCAGCCTCCCGAGTAGCTGGGTCTACAGGCGTGCCACCGCCTCAGGCTAATTTTTGTATTTTTAGTAGAGACCGGGTTTCACCATGTTGGCCTGGCTGGTCTCGAACTCCTGACCTCAGATGATTTGTCCGCCTCGGCCTTCCAAAGTGTTGGAATTACAGGCGTGAGCCACCACGCCTGACCACTTTTTTTTCCTGCTTTGTGGCCCAAGCTGGAGTGCACTGGTGCAATTGTGGCTGGGACAGGTGTGACACCACACCTGGCTGAACCTTTTTTTTTTTGAGATGGAGTCTTGCTATGTCACCCAAGCTGGAGTGCAGTGGCATAATCTCAGCTCACTGTAACTTCCATCTCCTGAATTCAAGCGATTCTTCTGTCTCCACCCCCTGAGTAGCTGGGATTACAGGCGCGCACCACCATGCCTGGCTAATTTTTGTATTTTTAGTACAGACAGGGTTTCACTGTGTTGGTCAAGCTGGTCTCGAACTCCTGACCTCGTGATCCACCCACATTGTCCTCCCAAAGTGCTGGGATTACAGGGGTGAGCCACTACATCTGGCCCTGACTGAAACTTCTGTGAACACTACGTGCTAGGCACCTACTAATCTCTTTGCATGTGTGGTCCTCATGACCCTCTTACTCATCCAAAAGCTCCATGGCTTAGTCTGTGATCCATTTCACAGGTGAGGAAGCTGAGGCCCAGAAGAACTTGCCCAAGGTCACAGAAGCAATAAAGTTTGGTTTGGACCCAAGGAGTCCCATCCCAGTGCCTAGATAGGGTGGGCTCTTACCTACCTTGGGAGGTGTGTATAAAGCTGCTTTGAAATAAGAAGCATGACACAAATGACAAGTGATGTCAATTTCGTTGTTACAGTTACCAGCATGACAGGTGGGAAGGGGCCAGGTGTGGGTTCTGGCAGGAGGATCCTTAAGAACACTAGGTCCTGGCAGATGCAGCCCTGGGAGCAGCCACGAGGGGGCATCAGCCTGCACAGGCAGCTCCAGGATGTTGATCGGGAGCTGGTACCCGGGTCAGGGAGTGATTCCCAGGCACCACAGGGCGAGCCCTCCACAGGGCAGGTGGGCCCAGGAACGCCCTTTCTCAGGCCAGGACTCCCAAGGCCTGGCCTTGATGGCACCCGTCTGTTGCGGTGCAGTTCGGCGGTCACAGCCTGGGGACCAGGTCCAGCCCAGCCAGCTCAGCAGCACGTCAGTGCCCAGCCCCTTCCCGCGCCGCTGGGACGCCAGGCGCCGCTCAGGTCACCACGCAAAAGCCCTGGGTAATCTGCCGCCAGAAGTTGCGACTGCGGCTGCTGAGAGCCACATTGGCCGCTTCCTGGAAGACGGCGTGGACGTTGTCATGGAGCCGAGCTGAGCACTCAAGGTAGGCCACCGCGCCCACAGACCTCGCCATCTCCTGGCCCTAGAGGGAGAGGTGGACAGGGCTGCTGTGAGGGGGCCACTGGGTGGTGCTCAGGTCCTGGCTTCCTTACCTGGACAAGAGTGGAAGGTGGGGTCTGCCGGGCACGCACAGTTCCTGTACCCTGGCTGCCCAAGCACCTGCATGTACTTCATCCTGTTTCTTTCTTTCTTTTTTTTGAGACGGAGTCTTGCTTTGTCATCCTGGCTGGAATGCAGTGGCAGGATCTCAGCTCACTGCAAATCTGCCTCTCTGGTTCAAGTGATTCTCCTGCCTCAGCCTCCAGAGTAGCTGGGACTACAGGTGCCTGCCACCACACCTGGCTTATTTTTTGTATTTTGGGTAGAGATGGGGTCTCACTATTTTACCCAGGGTGTTCTGGAACTCTTGACCTCAAATGATCCTCCCACCTTGGCCTCCCAAAGTGCTGGGATTACAGGTGTGAGTCACTGTGCCTCGCCTTTTTTTTTTTTTTTTTTTTTTTTTTTGAGGCAGGGTCTTGTTCTGTTGCCCAGTTGCCCAAGCTGGAATGCAGTGGTGCAAATCTTGGCTCACTGTAACCTGGAACTTCTGGACTCAAGGGATCCTCCCGCCTCAGCATCCCCAGTAACTGGGACCAGAGGTGTGGCCACCATGCCCCACTATTTTTTTTACTTTTTTTGTAGAGATGGGGTCTCCCTATGTTGCCCAGGCTAGTCTCAAACTCCTAGATTCAAACAATTCTCCAGCCTTAGCCTCCCAAAGTTACAGGCATGAGCCATCGTGCCTGGCCTTCATTGTGTTTCTTACCTCTGTTCTGTGCTGGGCCTCTGCCTCTCAAGGCACCAAGAAATGAACATTCCATGGACCCAAGTGTGTAGCAGAGAGGGACCCACATGTCGGTGCCTGCCTGGGCCTCCTCTCTGGGTCTCAGGCTGGTGGTGGAACTGACTCTGATATGCCTACTTTCTTGTTCTCCCTTCTGCCGGCAGAGGCTCCCAGGGTATTCTAGGGACCATTTCCAAGGGCTAGAAGTTCCTGACCTGACAGCCTCTAAGACGACCCCTGCTGTGACCTACACCCTGAGTGTGCTGGACGCCTGGTGCCACTGAGAGGCATCCAGAGGTCCCCTCCCCCAGTCACTCACTCCCACCTCAGGCTGGATTTCCTACCCTGTGGTAGGTCACAGGCTCCAGCCCATTTCTTCGGAGCTTGTTCACCAGTGATTTGTCCTTGCGCAGGTCAGTCTTGCAGCCCACGACGATGATGGGCACGTTCTTGCAGAAATGATTCACTTCTGGGTACCACTGCAGGGGGGTGAGGGGGTGTGTGTGAGCCCTGAAGAGTTCTGGCCCTCTCAGTGGGCCACTCTCCTGCTCCCCAGCCTGGACTCTGATATTGGTAATCTGCACAGCCAGCATCTAGGGAGAAACTCTTCAGTACCAGACTCTCATTTAAGAATTTACACATATGGACCCGTTTATCCCCCAAGTCCCTGGCAGCAAGTTCATAATCAATCCCACTGTACAGATGTGGTAACAGGCACAGAGAGGCAATGTAACTCGGCCTTGACTGGAAATGGCAGGATTTGAGCCTAGGGGTAGGGCTCCTGCCCTTCTGGAATCCTGCCTCTCTGCAGGGTAAGGGCCCTCATGGCCACCCCCTAAACTGGGCAAAATATATAAGGAAATAAATGATCCTTTGAGAATAAATCCGGCCAGGTGTAGTGGCTCACGCCTGCAATCCCAGCATTTTGGGAGGCTGAGGCGGGTGGATCACCTGAGGTCATGAGTTCGAGACCAGCCTGGCCAACATGGTGAAACCCCATTTCTACTAAAAATACAAAAAGTTAGCTGAGTGTGGTGGTATGCACCTGTAATCCCAGCTACTTGGGAAGCTGAGGGAGGAGAATTGCTTGAACCCAGAAGGTGGAGGTTGCTGTGAGCCGAGACCCCCCCAATAAACAACAAAAAGGGTAAAAAGAGGGAAACCCCGTCTCAAAAAAAAAAAAAAAGAGATGGGGTTTCAGCATGTTGCCCAGGCTGGCCTCGAACTCCTGACCTCAGGTGATCCACCCTCCTCAGCCTCCCGAAGAGCTGGGATTACAGGCGTGAGACACCGTGCCCGGCCCCACTGAGTTTTTAACCTGCTCAGGGATGGCAAACAACTTTTGCCATCCTCCATTTCTAGCCTGATTGCTCTTCCCCTAAGCATACCCTATGTCCAGGATATTCTTCCCCATTCTCCCCAAACCCAGTGAGCTTAACCTAGGGCAGGCAGCTCTCCTCTGTAATTTCCCAAAATGCATGTATCTGGAGCCCTTGATGGGTTTTTTGCTGTTATTCTTTTTATACAGACTTCTTGCAGATCCATCTACTTGTATGATTCTCAACTGCTCTGAAGTCAGGATTCTTTTTTTTTTTTGTGAGACAGAGTCTTGCTCTCTCCCCCAGGCTAGAGTGCAGGGGCGCGGTCTCAGCTTGATGCAACCTCTGCCTCCTGGGTTCAAGCAAGTCTACAGCTTCAGCCTCCCGAGTAGCTGGGTCTACAGGCGTGCCACCGCCTCAGGCTAATTTTTGTATTTTTAGTAGAGACCGGGTTTCACCATGTTGGCCTGGCTGGTCTCGAACTCCTGACCTCAGATGATTTGTCCGCCTCGGCCTTCCAAAGTGTTGGAATTACAGGCGTGAGCCACCACGCCTGACCACTTTTTTTTCCTGCTTTGTGGCCCAAGCTGGAGTGCACTGGTGCAATTGTGGCTGGGACAGGTGTGACACCACACCTGGCTGAACCTTTTTTTTTTTGAGATGGAGTCTTNAAATAAATAAATAAATAAATACATCTGCTCATAAAATGATTGCAGCAGCTGTCTGCCTCAACTGCTTGCCTGGTGGAGGGAAGGCTGCTCTGTGAAATGCGAGGCCATCAGGCCCGAATTATTTCAGCCTGGACTGCAGGTGAGGGGACAGGAATCCAGAGAGAGGGCTTTCTATCTCCAAGAGCACCGAGTCTGCCGGCTCAGGTGTCAAACTTGCCCAATAAAAATTGGCATTGGCTGGGCTTGGTGGCTCAAGCCTGTAATCCCAGCCCTTTGGGATGCCGAGGTGGGCAGATGCTTGGGGCCAGGAGTTTGAGACCAGCCTGGCCAACATGTTGAAACCTTGTCTCTACTAAAAATACAAAAATTAGCCAGGCATGGTGGCAGGAGTCTGTAATTCCAGCTACTCAGAGGCTGAGGCAGGAGAATAGCCTGAACCCAGGAGGCGGAGCCGAGATTGCACCACTGCATTCCAGCCTGGGCGACAGAGTGAGACTTCATCTCAAGGCGTCAAACTACCTCATTCCTGGAACCAAATGGGGCCTTTGTGGGGTCCCTGACAGATTCCCCACACCCGACCCATCCACCAAAGTGTTAGTGAAAAAGGTTTCCTTGGTGCCTCCCACTTAACCCAGCAGTGAATCTTCTTTTTTTTTTTTGAGATGGAGTCTCACTCTGTCATCCATGCTGGAGTGCAGTGGTGTGATCTTGGCTCACTGCAACCTCCACCTCCCGGGTTCAAGCGATTCTCCTGCCTCAGCCTCCTGAGTAGCTGGGACTACAGGTGCCTGCCACCACACCTGGCTGAGTTTTGTATTTTTAGTAGTGACGGGGTTTTGCCCTGTTGGTCAGGCTGGTCTGAAACTCCTGACTTCAAATGATCCACCCACCTCGGCCTCCCAATGTGCTGGGATTACAAGGCATGAGCCACTGTGCCTGGCCACCAGCACTGAATCCTAGCCCTGTTCCTACCAGATCCCTCGACAGCCTTGACCCTGGGCATCACTCCCTCCTACCTGACCAAGCCTGCACTTCACCCCAGGACCCCACTGTCCTGGTTCTCCTAGGTCTAATGGGGCCTTGTCCTCCTCCTCCTCCTCTCCCTGGGGCTCAGGCTATGGACTCTCCTCTCCTCTAGCTGCTCTCCCTCCCCGGGCGGCCTCCCCCAGGCTTTACTGCACCTGTAACTTCTAAATGTACAGCTGCATTTAGGCAACCCAACAGGCCCGCCTACTCAGATGAATTGCAGACACATGCCTCACACTGCATGCCGGACACCTCCACTAGGATGTCCAGCAGACCTGCCTTCTCTCCATCCCACTCCCCGTCCACAGCTTGCTCCTCATTCTAGGCAAGGGCGACTCCACCTTCCAGCTGCTCTGGTAAAAATTCCCCCCTCCCATCCACCTCCAATCCATCAGCAAACCCTGATCATCAGCAAACACCGCCTTCTAGACTGATTCAGAATCAACCCCCTCCTCGCCACCCCCACAGCTAGCATCCTGGTCCCAGGCACCACCGTCTCTCCTGGTCCTCAGTACCCAGAACAGCACTTGGCAGATGAATGTGCTCAATCATTCATTCTGAATGAATGGGTGGAGCAGGCTGCCTGGGTTCAAATCCAGTGTTACCACTTTAATAGATGTATATCTTTGGACGAGTGACTCAATCCAGGAATAATAATACTCCATAAGGTCTGCTGGGGTGGGTAAATGAGTAAATACATGCAAGTACCCAGAGCAGTGCCTGGCACGTGATCAGTCCTTAAAATTGTCGCCATCGGTGTTGTTGTTGTTGCAAATACTATCACAGGTTGTACCTGGCAGAACCTCGGAGGCCCTGGCAGCAGTGGGTGAGGGGCTGTGCCATGGCAAGGCAGCTGGAGCAGAGAGGAACTCAAGGGGCCACATCCCTGATGCCCGTGGGCAGCCTCTGAGAACCAGCAGCCACGAAGAGCTGCTGGACTCTAACTTGACAGTTCACGTGCCTCGGGCAGGCGCAGGCTGTAGAGATGCAGGAGCCTCTGGGTCACCAGCAACCTCAGGCAGACTCAAAGTGGGAAGAGCCACAGCGTGTAGCCTAGGGTAGGCAAGGAGCACTGTACTGGGAGTTAGAAGGGCAGATGCTGCCACCAAATCCCTGTGCCAGGGACCCTGGGCAAGCCACTGCCCCACTTTGGGCCTCAGTTTCTCCATCTATACGCCAGAGGCTCTGGACTCAGTGTCATCTCGGGCCTGCCAACCTCTGACAGTCAGCTGGGTCAAAGGTGGGCGGCAGAGCCGAGTGGCCTGGCTATGGGGGCTATGCCTCCCTGCGTCCCAGTACCTACCCGGGCAGAGACGTTGTCAAAGCTGTTCGGGCTGGTGACATCGAAGCAGAGCAGCAGGACGCTGGCGTCAGGGTAGAACAGGGGCCGAAGGCGGTCGTAGTCATCTTGCCCTGGGCAGAGTGGGGGTGGTCACTGCCTTCAGGGCTCCTGGCCCCTATCAGCACCGCCCCAATGTCAGGATGTCACCCCATCAGATGGGGAGCTTCTGGGGACAGGGCCTAGTTTTGTGCCTCAGAGTCTGGCACAAATTTGGCTCTGAGGTGGCTACTCTGTGTGAGTGCCCCCTTGGGGCAGTGCTCACCTCTGCCTGCGGAATGTCTGGAAGGGATGCCGGGCAAGGCAGAGGTCAGGCCTGGCGCCACCTGGAGGAACTGGGGCCAACTGCTCAGAAGCCAGCTTTGCCCTGAGCTTAGGAGTGAGAAATGAGGGGTAGGTGGGAACCTAGCAAAGACATCTTAGCCTGTTCAACTAAGAGGGCTGCTGGGATGACCTGAGTTTAGCTTAGAGTTCACCCTTGAATAGGCAAGGTCAGGAGGCTGGAGGGCAGAGGCCATGGACAGGCAGATCTTACAGAAGCTAAAAGCGGGGAGGAATGCTCAGAGGCCAAGAGCAGTCCTAAAAGCAAAGCACGGGGTTCATGCTTGCCTCCAGACGTAGCGGGCAGCCCTGGGGTGCTGGGGGTACAGGTGGACATGGCTGCAGAGGCAAGGAGAGCTCAGGTTCCTGGGTCGACTCCTGGCCCACACCTGTCCCTTGGAGACTGGCTGGCCTCCCTGGTTCAGAAGAAGGCAGAGCAGAGTCTGTCCCAGGCATCTGGGGGCCATCTGGGGCCCCGCCACCGCCCCTGCACACCCACCTGCTGTGTCCCAGATGTGGAGGTGCACGGTCTTGCCTTTCACTTGCAGGCTGATCAGGTGCCGCTCAAACACCGTGGGGGTGTAGCTCTGAGGAGAAGCAGGGCAGGGCAGGCTGTGAGGACGCTTCCGAGAGGCGCGGGACCCTGGGCTGTCCACAGCGCTGCCTCCTCCATGGATCAGTGCAGTGTAGTTGTTTCTGAGAAGCCTCTTCCTTGGCCTGCCTGGGTGGTGGCCTAGAGGCTGTCTGTTTTTGCAAGGTCTTGAACCTCCCCAGCTTTGTTCTCAGTTGTGAAATGGGAATATTAAAAGTCCCTACTGGCCGGGCACTGTGGCTCACCCCTGTAATTCCAGCACCTTCGAGGTGGGCAGATCATTTGAGGCCAGGAGTTCGAGACCAGCCTGGCCAACATGGTGAAACCCCATCTCTACTGAAAATACAAAAATTAGCTAGGCATGGTGGTGCCTGTCTGTAATTCCAGCTATTCAAGAGGCTGAGGCACAAGAATCGCTTGGGACCAGGAGGTGGCAGTGAGCCAAGATTGTGCCACTGCACTCTGTCCTAGGTGACAGAAAAAAAGGCTGGGCGTTGCGGCTCACACCTGTAATCTCAGCACTTTGGGAGGCTGAGGTGAGCAGATCACCTGAGATCAGGAGTTTGAGACCAGCCTGGCCAACATGGTGAAACCCTGTCTCTACTAAAAATAGAAAAGTTAACCAGGCATGGTGGCATGCACCTGTAGTCACAGCTACTCAGGAGGCTGAAGCAGGAGAATCAATCGAACCTGGGAGGCGGAGGTTGCAGTGAACCGTGATTGTGCCACTGCACTCCAGCCTGGGCAACGGAGAGAAACCATGTCTCAAAAAAAAAAAAAAAAAAAAGTCCCTACCACAGTGCCACCTGCTATAAGGATTCAGTGAGGTGTTCCATGCGGAGCCCTTAGCTCAGGGCCTGGCATGAAATAAGCACATCTACATGCCAGCTACTGTTATTTTTATCATTGCCCTCTGGATAAGGGCAGGGTTTTTTCCTTTTTTTTAGAGAAGGGTCTCCCCGTGTTTCCAAGGCTGGAGTGCAGCAGCTATTCAAAGGCATCATCATAGCTCAATGCAGCCCCAAATAATCCTCCTGCCTCTGCCTCCCAAGAGCTGGGACCGCGGGCACATATCGTTGGGACTCCCGTTTTTGTTGTCCCCTCTTCGTAGAACAACATTAACCTCCTCGTCGTTCATTCATCTGTTTGTTCAGCAGCGTTAGCACCTTCTCCAGGCCCAGCTCTAGACACTGGGAAGCAGGCAAAAGACTCAATCCTTGTGCTGGGGAACTCGCAGCTTTTTGGGGTTCTTCCCTTGCCTCTCAACCTCTCACAATCCAAACAAGACGCCCCCTGCCTTTTTTTTTAGATGGGGTCTTGCTCTGTTGCTGAGGCTGGAGGGCAGTGGTGTGATCTTGGCTCACTGGAACCTCCACCTCCTGGGTTCAAGCGATTCTCTGGCCTCAGCCTCCCGAGTAGCTGGACTACAGGAGCGTGCCACCATGCCCAGCTAATTTTTGTGTTTTTAGTAGAGACAGGGTTTCATCATGTTAACCAGGATTGTCTTGATCTCTTAATCTTGTGATCCACTGGGTTTGACCTCCCAAAGTGCTGAGATTACAGGCGTGAGCCACCACGCCCAGCCTGTTTTCGTTTTTACTTTTTTTCTCTTTTTTCTTTTTCATACGAATTCTTTTTACGTATCTTTTTCTTTTTTTGTAGAGACAGAGTTTTGCCATGTTGCTAGGCTGCTCTCAAACTCCTGAACTCAAGCGATTCACCCACCTCGGCCTCCCAAAGTAATTTTTTGTAGAGATGGGATCTTGCCATGTTGCCCAGACTGGTCTTAAACTCCTGGACTCGTGAGAACCACCTGCCTTGGCCCCCCAAAGTGCTAGGATTACAGGTGTGAGCCACCACGCCCAGCCCAGTGCCCCATGTTTGGGCTTTCTTCTTTGTTCTGCCTGGGCTTGCGAGGAGGTCACTCAGGACAGAGGCCCCTCACTCCAGCCCTGTCCAGCCTAAGCTGACTGCCTTGCCATTAAGGTGAGATGAATGGACGACAGGCCAGGTTTTGTACATAGATGAAAATGCAGGAATGAAGAGGGAGCTTTTGCAAAATGGGTCTGTGCAACAGGTAAAGACATTTGCAAAACTCTGCCATAACCTGTGCCCTCTGCTTCAAGGGGCATGCTGGGCTGCCTGCTTTTGGGTCCCTAGGCCTCGGCTGCCTGCTCAGGGCCAGTTGGTGGGGCCACAGTCTGGGGGGCCCCTATCCGCTTCCCCTCGCATGCTGGGTGGGGCCCCCACCTCCCTATGACTCAGGAGAATTTCATGCCTGCCTGCCTGCCCGCTGGCCTTCTGAGTCAGGCTCTGGCCAGCTGGGAGGGGCAGCACCTGAGCAATGGGTCAGCACCGTCCTCCAGGGAAGCTGCAGGGAGTGGGGTGGGGAGAAAGGCAGGTCCCAGAGTAGGCAGCTGAGGAAGATGGAGACGTCAGGATGGCCTTGAGGTAAGGGCTGGCCCCACCCCAGACTCTAGACATGCTGTCACTCCCTCTACCAAGAGGAACCAACAGGAACAGACAAGGGCCTCACCCACCTCCCCATCCCCACTTGCCTGCTCAGGGCACCCTCCTTCAGCCCCTTTGCCTTGTGGTGGGCAGTGTGACCTGATAGCTAGGAGTGCTAGCTTTTGGGTTTAGATGTGCCTCGCTTAAGACCTGGTCCTGGCACTTACCAGCTATGTGACCTTGGGACGGTCCCCTCACTGGTTAAAGCGGAAGAGTGTCACCCCATGATGTGGGAGAGAGGATGGACTGACAGGTGAGGCCCCAGCATAAATACCCACCAACGGGAAAGCTGGTGGCCAGGAGCAGTGTCCACACCAGCCCCCATCCATCCTTCCAGAAATATTACCTTCTCTGGTGATATGGTTTGGCCATGTGTCCCTACCCAAATCTCATCTCAAATCGTAATCCCCACGTATGGAGGGAGGGATGTGGTGGGACGTGATTGTATCGTGGGTGGTTTCCCCCATGCTATTCTTATGATAGTGAGGGACTTTTTTTTTTTTTTAACAAGTCAGGCTGGAGTGCAGTAAGAGCAATCTTGCTCACTGCACCCCTGCCTCTAAGGTTCAAGCGATTCTCCTGCCTCAGCCTCCCAAGTCACTGGGATTACAGGTGCACCACCACACCTGGCTAATTTTTGTATCTTTAGTAGAGATGGGGTTTTATGATGTTGGCCAGGCTGGTCTCAAACTCCTGACCTCAAGTGATCTGCCAGCCTCGGTCTCCCAAAGTGCAGGGATTACAGGTGTGAGCCACCATGCCTGGCCAATAGTGGTAATCTTCTTACGTGATCTGATGGTTTAAAAATGTGGCACTTCCCTCTTCTCTCATTCTGTCTCCTGCTGCCATATAAGACGTGCCTTGCTTCCGCTTCATCTTCTACCATGATTGTAAGTTTCCTGAGGCCTCCTCACCCATGCAGAACTGTGTGTCAATTAAACCTCTTTTCTTCATAAATTACCAAGTCTCAGGTAGTTCTTTATAGCAGTGTAAAAATGGACTAATACCCCCAGACCCTCACCAGCTTCTGATCTTTGTCCTAGAGCAGGGGCCTGTCATTATGAAGGGCACCAGTGCGCTTGCATCTGAGTTCCCAGCTTGACCACCCACTCAGTCAACTTCTTGATCTGAGCTGCAGGGCAGCCTGCTGGGAATCTCTTGAGGCACATGTTTCAGTGTTTTGCAAATGCCCATGGCCATGACCTCGTCACCCACCATTCTTTAAGGATCTTCTGTGTGTGGCTGTGTACTGGCTGGCACCATCTCTGATCCTTGCAAGCCTGGAACATCAGTACCACCTCTACTTTCTGACGATGCCAGAGAGAGGAAATGACTTGCTCAAGGTCACACACTGCACAGCTGGCTAGTGACGGAGCTAGGTCTTTGTGGTTCCAGAGACCAGGCTCTGTCCCCAGCCACCTGCATTTCCTGAGATTACCAACTCCAGTTTCTGGAGACAGAAAGGGGCTGAGTTTCCCCTCTGGCCTGTAAATGTCACAGCCCTTTCCCCCACTCTGGATATCATCCTAGAGACTCTGTTTACCTTTTGTCGTGTGTTGTTCTTTGACCCCCAGACAGGGTCACCCTCTGTCCATGGGACCAATGGTGCCTAATCTTATCTGTTAAGCCGTCCTCAGCTGAAAAAGAAGGGCTGGTCCTGTGCTGCACCAGGACAAAGATGACTCAGGCTTGGGTCTGCCCTCCAGGGACTCACAGACAGAAAATGGATCATTACCAAGATAGGGGACCCGGCTCAAGAGGGGGTGTCAGGGTATCCCTGGTTAGGACAACCATGGGAGCCCAAGTACAAACCAGGAAGGACTCAGGGGGTTCTAGCCAGCAGGGCCAGGTGCTCCCCACCACCTCCTATCCATATGCTGGTGTGGGGGCTGCTAGGCTGTGAGCCTGTGGGAACGGTTGCAGCCCCAAATGCCAGCCAGGACTGGGCAGAGGCTGGCACCCAAACCTGGGGTTCTCCCCACCCCAGGAGCTCTCTCCATCTTGCCCTCCCCTGCTGCTTTGAATCCGGGGTTGGGCCACAGCTAGATGAGGGTCACTAAGGTCCCTCCAAATCCTTAGGCTGCTCTCGGCCCTTTGCTGTGTGCAGGAAGTCTGGGAGATGGACTCCAGACTCCTAGCTGCTGGCCCCTTGGGCTTCAAGGGCTGCCTGGAGGAGGAGTCTGGTGCCAGGGACACGGGCAGGAGGAGGCTGGGTCCAGCAGGCAGAGCATGGGGGGCTGTGGAGAATGCCCTGGTCGAGAGTGGGAAGACCTGGGCTCCAAATCAGTGCTGCCACCGCTGGGCCATGTGCCTCAGGCAAGCCTCTGGGCTCTGGACTGTTTTCCCATCTGCAAAATGAAGCCTTTCTAGCTCTAAGACATTGTGGGATCTCTCTTTCTCTCTCTCTCTCTTTCTTTCTCTCTCTTTCTTTCTTGCTTGCTTTTCTTTCTTCTTTCCAATGCCACGACCTCAGCCTCTGCTTCCTGAGTTCAAGCGATTCTCCTGCCTCAGCCTCCCAAGTAGCTGAGATTACAGGTGTGTGCCACTGTGTCTGGCTATTTTCTTTTTTGTACTTTTGGTAAAAACAGGGCTTCACCATGTTGGCCAGGCTGATCTTGAACTCCTGACCTCAGGTGATCTGCCCATCGTGGCCTCCCAGAAAGCTGGGATTACAGGCGTGAGCCACCGCGCCCAGCCCCTTGTGCATTCTTTAAAAGGATTCTCCTGTTCCTGGGAACCCAGGGCCCCCAGACAAGGGAAGAGCCTGGACAAGTCCAGCCCATCCCCCTGGTGACAAGCATGCCCTCCCCACATTTCTGGCCAGCCCCAGAATGACCCTCAAAGCATTCACATCTTATCAACTGCAAGATGCCCATTTCCACATCATAACTGCTCTGAAATCGGGATGATCTCACCATCAAGGACATCTCAGAGCTGATGGTGAGGCACCAGGCTTCCAGCTCCCCCACCATCAGGTGCCTTCCCCTGGGCCTAGGCCACCTGTCCCTCTGTGGTGCTCTTCCCTGGGTGCCATCATTGTTGGGTTCCCATGGGCAGCATCTAGGTGCTCAGAAACATGTTCCCCCAAACTTAAAACAATGTGTGACTGGCCAAAGGAGGTGACATCAGCTCCACAGGCCACTAAAAAGTGGCTCAATGCCACTGAAGCAGAAAGCATGTGGCAGGGCCCAACACAGCCCCGGGGCTCACAGCCAAGGGTGAGAGACAGGCAGGACATCAGCATGGTAAGAACTACAGTGTGATAAGAACCGGGTAGGCCCGACCTGCTCTCCCTATGCTCAGGTGCCCCAGCACCTGTACAACCCCAGGGGCTTAGAGGAAGCTGGGAAGAAAAGGAGGAAACGGTGGCTCACACTTGTAATCCCAGCACTTTGGGAGGCTGAGGCAGGCAGATCGCTGAGGCCAGGAGTTCAAGACCAGACTGGCCAGTATGGCAAAACCCCGTCTCTATTAAAAATTAAAAAAAAAAAGCCAGGCATGGTGGCAGGTGCCTGTAATCCCAGCTACTCAGGAGGCTGAGGCAGGAGAATCACTTGAGCCTGGGAAGCAGAGGTTGCAGTGAGCTGAGATTGCACCATTGCACTCCAGCCTAGGTGACAGAGTGAGACTCTGTCTCAAAAAAAAAAAAAAAAAGGAGGAAGAAGAGATGCTGGGAGCAACCCCGTGGACTCCCAGGACAACAGGGCTGAGAGGCAGCAGAGCAAGGACTGCCTGGTGCCCATGGAGTCTGCCTAGGCAGTCAGTGAGCATGTCAGGAAGGATTAACAGTGGGCATGCCCACAGTGCCAAGGACCCGCCAGGTACCGCATGGGAGCTGCCTATCAGCCTCCCCTGGGCTCCTCTCACCACTACCCTACAGTCCCTCTATAGCATGGGGCTGTTGTGAGAAACTGAGGCTCAGAGAAGCTAAGCAGGTTACGAAAGGGGCACAGGGCTCCTAAGAGTAGAGCTGAGGCTGGCGAGCTCCGCCCTCCAGGGCAGAGCCATGGCACGTGCATTCCAGCGGCAAGAGCTGGAGGGGAGACAATGTTTCCCAAGAGCGACATGTGCCAACTCTCCGTGAGTCCTTCCTGTGCACAGGCTGGGGCTGAGTGTTTGACGTCTGTTAACTCACCGACACGGTGACCCTGTGGATGGGCACTGTCACTCACCTGGATGTGGCTAGGGACATAAGCACAGCGGGGTTGGGGGATTTGCCCAGGGATACAGGGCTGCAAAGCCGTAATTTGAACCTAGGCAGTCGGCTCCCGAGCCCTCAGTCCGTCTTGGCGGAATTGTGCGGCCAGGTGCTGTCTTAGGGGCTTGTGTGCGCCCAGGTTGCCTCATTCAGTCCTTGTGCCACCCCTCCCAGGTAGGTGCCATCCTCCTGCTTTACAGATAACATCACTGAAGAATTCATTCCCAATGGCATGGAGAGAAGAACTCTGCCCTGGACTCCAGGCCTCGCTGGGACAGGCGCACTACCTGGGCCGATCTGGCACGGACTGTGCACACCCGGGCGCCCGAGTGGAACCGGGCGAGGCGGGGGCGCGGGGCACTCACCTCGGGGAAGGCCCCATCAGCAAAGACCGTCAGCAGCGACGTCTTCCCGCAGCCACCGTCGCCCACCAGGACCACCTTGACGGAACACACGCCTGGGGGGGCCTCCTCGCCCGCGGCCTGGGCCGCCGTCATCCCGGGCCGGGCAAGAAGCGGACGGGCAGGCGGCTGTGGCGCCGGGACCGGGACTGCGCGGGGCAGGCCCGGCGGGGCAGGAATGTGGAAGGGGCGGGGCGGCGGGAGGAAGTACGAGCCGGGCGCCCGGAGAGTCAGGTGAGAGGCTCGGGCTGCTGGGCTGGGGCCCGTCCCCTCCAGGCCCGCTAGGGCCCTGAAGAAAAGATGCCCGAGCACCTACTGTGTGCGGGCGGCGCTGGGGCCACGGGAGGTCGGAAGGGAGAGGATACACAGCAGGCCGTGACAGTGGGGATGAGGGGGTGCTCAGGCCTGGGTCTCAGATCCCAGGCAGGAGCCAGTGACCTTTACCAAATGAATGAATGAGTGAATGAATTGTGCATTTCTCCAGGGCCCTTAGGACAGAGAACAACACAGATGCTTCCTGCCAGGTGGGAAGAGGATGACCTCCTTATGGGTCAGTCACTGGCCCTACCAGGCCTGACTGGCCCTCCCTCCACCGGTACCAGGAAGCTTTGCCGCAGGTGGGCAGCAACCTGACTCACCCTGGCTGGCCACGATCTAGGGAAAGCGATGGAACCTTCCCTCTATAAAGTATGAATGTTTCTTATTATCACACCATGAGATGTCCCCCTGGTGCCTAAGGGCCTGGGAACCCTAAACTGTTCAAGACCAAGTCCAGGCCCTGCCTTGAGAAGCCCACAGCCTAGAACCGTAGACACGAATGCCATCAGTGTGACTAGAACTACAACGAGGGTAGGGACAGGCAGCAGGATGGGAGTAGGGGAAAGGAGCTCCTCGCCCAGGTTGAAGGAGGCTTCCTAACCCTTCTAAGAGAGGCTCAGAGTATTGAGGAAAAAGTGAGACACAGTCAGATGGGGGAGGGAAAAGGTGTTCCACAGGAGATTGCCACAGGTGAGAGGCCGTGGAGGCTGGAGCGGAATGCTGCCCCGCCGCCCCAGCAGAGGGTGAGGCTCGCTTGGGGAGCTGGTGCTTGCACAGTAGAGCACTTTGGGTGCCAGGAATAAATCCAGCGTCGAACTGGAAACTCATTGTCACCTGATCTCTCCACCTCTCCTAATGGCCGGAGTTGAAATCTTTTAAAAATGGGCACAAGGGTCTTCCCAGATCTTGGACTATTTCTATTGAAGCTTAAAAGAACAGGGAGCAGTCGTCGTTAGGTCCCGCCTATTTATTTATTTTTATTATTTATTGATTTATTTATTTATTTAATTTATTTATTTTTGAGACGGAGTTTCGCTCTTGTTACCCAGGCTGGAGTGCAATGGCGCAATCTCGGCTCACTGCAGCCTCCGCCTCCTGGGTTCAGGCAATTCTCCTGCCTCAGCCTCCTGAGTAGCTGGATTACAGGCACGCGCCACCATGCCCAGCTGATTTTTTGTATTTTTAGTAGAGATGGGGTTTCACCATGTTGACCAGGATGGTCTCGATGTCTTGACCTTGTGATCCACCCGCCTCGGCCTCCCAAAGTGCTGGGATTACAGGCGTGAGCCACCGCGCCCGGCCCTATTTTTTTTTTTTTTTTTGAGACGAAGTCTCCCTCGTCTCCTAGGCTGAAGTGCAATGGTGCGATCTTGGTTCACTGCAATCTCCACCTTCCGGGTTCAAGCAATTCTCCTGCCTCCTTAGCCTCCTGAGTAGCTGGGATTACAGGCGACAGCCACCACGCCCAGCTATTTTTTTTTTTTTTTTTAAGAGACAGGATCTCGCTATGTTGCCCAGGCTGGAATGCAGTGGCTATTTACAGGTGCAATCCCACTACTGATCAGTACAGGAGCTTTGACCTGCTCTGTTTCCAACCTGGGCCAGTTCATCCCTCCTTAAGCAACCTGGTGGTCCCCCGCTCCCTGGAGGTCGTCATATTGATGCCAAACTTAGTGCGGACACCCAATCGGCATAGCGCACTGCAGCCCAGAACTCCTGGCTCAAGCGATCCTCCAGCCTTAGCCCCCTGAGTAACTGGGACTATAGGCTCGTGCCATTGCACCTGGCTAATTTTTGTTTTTTTAGTAGAGACAGGGTTTCACCACGTTAGCCAGGCTGGTCTGGAACTCCTGACCTCAAGTGATCCACCCGCCTCGGATTCCCAAAGTGCTGGGATTACAGGTGTGAACCACTTCGCCCAGCTGTCCCCTAATTTATGCTGATCATGATATCACCCCTCATGGAGTTCAAAGTCAGGCAGGTGAAAAAGCACCTTCAACCTCCTTTGAACTCACTGTGGTCTAAAGAGGCAGCTGGGGCAGGAGTCACTCACTATGTGGAGAGGCAGAGCACAGCTCCTTGACTCCTCTGCCTGGCTCCCGCTCTGGGCTGTGGTCCACAGGCTGGATGGAGCCTCCTCAGGACAGCTGTGCCTTCCAGGTGCCCCTTCCTCCCCGAAACTGCCATAGGGCTGGGCAGTGACTTGGCACCGGGCTGGGCAGGTAGCTCCTGAGCAGGGCTCCCCGCCCCGGGGAGTGGTGGGAGGGGCCCCAACCCCTTGGATCAGCTGTCAGCATCTTCCTCCGCAGTGCTGCTGTCATCAGGCCTTGGGTGGCAAGGCTGGAAGGCAGGTGGGGCCAGACTGGGGGTGGAGGGAGCCGAGAGTCAGGCAGAGGCGTTTGGCCTTGGTTGCCATAGGGATAATCACTGTAATGACACACTTGACGTCTGTCAGGCTGTACAGTTTCACTGAGCATTTCCTAATAATAATAGCACCCATTAATGGATTGCAAGCCATGTGTAGCCACTATTCCCTAGGAGGGAGGGACTCTTAGCTCCATTTCACAGATGAGGAGCCTGAGGCCCAGAGAAGCTAAGTTGTTGTCTAAGATCCACAGCTAGTAAGAGGCTGAACTAGAATTTGGATCCAGGCCTGACCTCAAAGCCAGGCTGTCTCCCTCCTCAGACAGCCTGCACACCTCAGCTGCACAATTTTCCTTTAGGTCTCAGACCGCAAGGTAAACCAAGCAGATGACCTGCTTCCCCTCATTTTAAAGGTTTGGGAACTGAGCCTCAGAGAGAGGCAGAGGCGTGTCTTAGGCCAGCAGGACACGGCCAAGATTCGATCTGATGTCAAGCCCCAGCCTCACCCCCATCTTATGCTTACGCTCCCGCGAGAAGGAGATTAGTCACCAGGCCACAGAAATCGGCTCTGGTCGGCAGGGAATTTCCCCGAATCTCAGACATTGCTGAACCTGGGACCGCACTGTTTTCCTGGAATTTATTTTTAGAGTGGTGGTGCAGGTCACACAGTCTGCCTGGCCAGGGTACTGTTTACTGTTTTACTGTTTACTGGGGCTTCACTGGACCTGCAGCCTGTGGGTGACTCAGGCCCCTCTCTCAGCTGACACCCAGCTGTGGTTCAGGACAGTATGTCCAGTAGATCGCCTGGCTGGACAAAGCAAAGGGACAAGAAGGAAAAGAACAGGCCGGGCATGGTGGCTCACGCCTGTAATCCAAGCGCTTTGGAGGCCAAGGCGGGCAGATCACCTGAGGTCGGGAGTTCAAGACCAGCCTGACCAATATGGTGAAACCCCGTCTTAGAAGAAAAAAAAAGGAAAAGAGCAGAGTGAGGAAGAGAGGAAGGAAAGAAGGAAGGAAGGACGGACGGAAGAGGGACAAGCTTACAAGAATAAACAAACTGAAGAAATGAATAAAGGAACAAATGCTTGCATGGATGAACAAATATCACATGTGACATGAATGGAGAATCTGTGGACAGGTGACCACTCTCCAGCCTCTGCTTACTCCAAGGCCCCCTGGCCTCACCCCCTCCCCATTTTCTCACACCACCCCCATTCTAAGGCCTAATCCTGTGCCATCCTGATCGTGTCTCCGCTGCCCTCATGTGGTGGCTCAGCTCCCTGCACGGTCATCACCTGGGGCCGCCTCCCTGCTCAGGGCTCCTGGCTTGAGGGTATGGAGTGCTTGTGGAGGGCTGAATAAAGGGGAAAGTGTATGCAGGGGGTGGGTAGAACCTCAGAGATGCAGGCTTTCCCCTTGGGAGGGCTTGGCAGGGTGCACAGGCCCTGGTGTGTAGCTCCTGAAGCATCCCCCGTCCTCCGAGCTTTCTCCTCCCCGCCCCTCCCCTTCTCTCTCCTCCCGTACTCCCCCTCTTCTCCTCTTTCTTTTTTGATGGAGGCTCGCTCTGTCCCCAGGCTGGAGTGCAATGGCGCGATCTCAGCAATCTCAGCTTACTGCAACCTCTGCCTTCCCTGCCTCAAGTGAGTTCAAGTGCTTCCCCTGCCTCAGCGTCCCAAGTAACTGGGATTACAGGCACATGCCACCGTGCCTGGCTAACTTTTTGTATTTTAGTAGAGACAGGGTTTCACCATGATGGTCAGGATGGTCTCGAACTCCTGGCCTAGTGATCCACCTGCCTTGGCCTCCCAAAGTACTGGGATTACAGGCGTGAGCCACCAAGCCTGGCCTCACCTCCTTTTTTTTTTTCGCTTTTTTTCTCAGATAGAGTCTTGCCCAGGCTGGAGTACAGTGATGCGATCTCAGCTCACTGCAACCTCTGCCTCCCGGGTTCAAGTGATTCTCCTGCCTCAGCCTCCCGAGTAGCTGGGATTACAGGTTTCTGCCACTGTGCCCAGACCACTTTCATCCAAAATACTGGATCCCAAGAGTCCTTGCTCTTAGCCTGAACTCCTCCACCCAAAGCCTTGACCTCACATTTACTGAGCACCTTTCTGTGCCGGATGCTTGGCATATGTCATTTCGTGTCATCCTATGACGTATGTTCAATTCTTATCCTCCTTTGACAAGTGAGGAAACTGAGGCCCAAGAGGTCAGATAATTTGCCTAAGGTCCCACAGCTAGTAAGCAGAGGAGCTGAGATTTGCACCCACGCCCTTGGGCTCCAGAGCCCGTACACACAGAATCCCTAAAAGTCAGAGGTATAGGGGTCTTTAGAGGTCAGTTTATTCAACACCCCCATTCTTCAGATGGGGAAACTGAGGCCTGAGAAAGGAAGGAATTTACACAGCAAGTAAGCAGTGGACTCAGCTCTGTGCCAGGTGGAACCCACAGGGCCTGTGTGCCCAAGTTTCCTTTTGCCTGCCCAGACAGCTCAAGCTGCCATGTAACTGGGGCCCCAGGACATGGGGACATGGCCTCCTGCCCCAGCCTCCTCTCCTTGCCAAACCATTATTGATCTTTCTGGGTGGATGGGAGGGCTGATAATAGGGTGTGAGGGGTGGAAAGAGGGGGAATCCCCATCTTAGTGCTTAGTTAGCCTTTTGATTTGTCCCTTTGGGGGTCTGCAGGCATAGACAAATGGGAAAGAGGAAGAGAAGCTTGCAGCTGGGAGCTGCTGTTGCCGTGATGCCGTGGCTTGTCCCCCGTCTCCCACATGTAGGCCTGGCCCAGGCAACGCTGCTGGGCAGGTCAGAGACCCCCACTCCTCGGTGGGGCTCCCAGACAGAGGGGGCTTGGGACCTTGGAGGCGTGTCCATGAGTCCAGGGCTGGAGGAGGGGAGATAAAGGGGCACGGAAGGATGGGACCCTGGAGGCAGGGTGGCCCAAGAAAGGACAGAAACAGGTTGGGAGATTACAAGAGAAAAGGAGGAGGTAAGACAGCTTCTCTGAGCCTGGGTTGTCCCGGCTTCTCTCCAGGAAGACGCCTCGGTTTGAGTTCTGCTGAATGAACCCAAACCTAAAGGCAGCTCAGAGGCCTCCTGCCTGCCCCTCCTGCCACTCACTGTCAAAGGTAACACTCACTGATGTCCCTCTGTGTCATCACCAAAGCTTCTTTGAGTGACCCTCCCTCCCTCGGACCTGATCCTGCTCAAGATCCCACCATGGCTCCCCACCAGCAGCAGCACAAGGAGCTTCTGCCTGAGCCTGGACAGGCAGCCTCCACAGCCCGACCCCATGTAGCCTCTCTAGCCTTAGCCCAGCTGTGTCTCCCCCAGACACTGTGACATCTTTGCTCAGGCAGTTTCAGACCCCTCTCCCTCCTCCATGTGTACAGTCCCCTGCTGCAAGGCCAGCTCTCATGCTTCTACCTCCTCCAGGAAGCCTTCCCAGGTCTCTGCCCCTCTCATGGGCTCCTGCCACAGCCCATCTCATTGGTTGTCTCAGCTCTTCGGAGTCAGTCCCTGTGGCAGGCAGGCCCCCCGGGGGCTGCTGGGAATTCTCCACCAGCCCATCCCTGTCCATGCTATTCCCAACAGTAACCCATAGGAGGCCTGAGTCCCTGATTCCCAGAGAAAAGACGAAGTTGATTCAGGGTTGAGCAGGGCTCCCCAGAAGCCCCCTCTTCCTACCCCAGCTTTATTTTGGTTCTAGAATCATTCCAGTCGGCATACCCGGTCCCCACCACGGCCATCCTGGGCGCACAGTTAACATGTCATGCAGTTAGGGGGAGGGAGAGAGGGGAGACAGTGGGAAGTGGGGAGTCAGTGGACCGCACCACACAGCCACTGGGTTAGAGAGAGTCAGGGTCTCCCAGGCTGCAAAGCTTTGCCCAGCCATGTGTCTCCTGGCCCTAGGCTGACCTTCTGCTGTGGCCACAGGGTAGAAGCCTGAACTTGGGGTTGGGCCCTGGCTATGTCAAGTGGGGTGAGCTACCATCCTACCTCCAGTCCCCTGGGCCCCTGTTCTAGCCCTTCCTTCCTCTATATCACTGGGGATAACTGGTTGACCTGGGTCTCCATAGCTCACCAGTTATGGAGCAAGGAACAGGGGCATCCAGCCTGAGGGTCCATACTGTCACCTGTGTATGGCCTCACAGAGCAGATGCTCCCTGACGTGTTGGCCTGGGTGAACTCAGACCTCCCAGCACTCAGCCGTGAAGGCAGGAAGCTGCTTCCTGGACTGCGGGATGCCAGGCTGGGGAGATGAGCTCTGCCTGCCCTCATCCTATTCGGGCTGGGGGTAACCAAAGATAGACGCCTGTAGGGGTGCAATACCCCAGTCCCTCTCCTTCTGGGCGGGACCCCCCCAGGGTGCCCCTCGAACTCCAGGCCCCTGCCTCCACAGCAATCAGGCCAAGGCAGATGGATCTGGAAGCCACAACTTTATTGGCTTCCTCCCTCCAGCCTGGGCTCCCTTTCTTTCTCTGGTAAGTTTCTCTGAGAGCACTCACCCACAAGAACCCACTGGCCCAAGAATTTCCATCTCAGGTTTCGCTTCTAGGGAACTCACCGGAGGACACCCAGTGTCAGGGGCACCACCCATGATCGAGAGCCACCTCCTTCGTAGTCTGGCCCTCTGTCTTCTCCGGGTGTCCCTCAAGCTGCCCTTCCACCCTGGCCTCCCCTAGCTTCCCATCGGGCCTCAGCCACCTGAACTGTCCTTTCCCGCCACCTCTCCAAGGCCCAGCCTGAGGGTCTCCTTGGCCACCACATCTTCCCAGGTGCCTGCAGCTGCCAGTATTCCCTCTGCCCCGCCCCTGCCACCCCCCCACCCCAGCTGAGACCTGCCTGAGGCATCTTCCCCCCAGTGGACCTGGCCTGGAAGGGCATCAATGAATGCTTGCAGCCCTGGGCCTGGTTTGTGAAGGACTGAGCACAAGGACCTGGGGCTGGGCCTCTTTGGACCTCTGGCTCTTGCCATAGTTGAGGTCTGGGGAGTAGATTTCATAGAATAACTCCGGAGCCAGTGTTCCACGTGGCTGGCGGGCTTCTGCCTGGGCCTGGTCTCTTGGTCTCTTCTCTGCCCCAGAGAGAGGCCCTTCCTTGTATCCGCTGCAGTGGGCTGAGGACTGCATGTACAATGGGAAAGTTCACATCCTGCCATTGCTTAGGCTGGGCCCACTGCCTGGGACATGCTCGGTTCTTTCCCTGTCCCTCCAAATGCAGCTCCTACATCGTCAAAGAGAACCTCCCTGTTCCCCAGCCTTCAGAGCCTCCTGAGTCCACACAGCTGGGTCACCATCAGCACTGCACACATCCTCTGGGGAAGGGGAGCTTGTCTGCCTGATGTCCTAGGGGCTGCGTCTCATTCATGTTACCCAGCACGGTGCCTGGCCCCCAAGATTCGCTGGATTCCAGAACATAGCCTGGCTCGGCAGCTGGCCTCCCAGGAGGAGCAGGGTTGGGGGAGCTTGAGATGGAACACAGCTGTCCAGTGCTCAGAGCCTCCCTCGGTCCTGGCCCAGGACAGCTGGTCCTCATCGGGAGAAGACCCTGGGGTCCCGGACACAGAGCCACGCTCACTCCTCTGCTGCAATCTGGACAGAGAGACCAGGATGGCTCATGAGGACTCTGCCAGGGGACCCCAGTGTTCATGGCTCCAGCTGGGCTATGAAGAGGGCATCAGACAGAGCCGAGTGGGTGCCAGGCTCCGGCAGCTCTGCTGCCCACCTGGCCCGCCCTGGTTGCTAGTTTCGCCGGACAGTGTGCCACATGGACACGGGCCTGCGCAGCGTGGCCAACATCTGGTTCCAGTGTGTGGTTCCCATGCCGCTGGCCGACGGCCCAATGATGACATGGCCCACGTTGTCCCCACGGCCGTCGATGCTGCTCTCAGCCACTGTCACACGGAGAGACAGGTCCTGAGAAAGAGGCAACGTGGGTGCTGAGGACCAGGAGCAGCCAGAGGTACTTCTTGGCTCCTGGGTCCAAGGCTACAAATGTCAGGCCTTAGAGAGGAGCCAGGCGCAGCTCCCTGAATCCTCGCCTCTGATCTAAGAGGGAAGGAGAGTCGGCCCAGGTCATTCAGCAAATAAATGGCGGGCAAGAGTTTGAACTAGGGCTGCCTGGGCCTGCAGGCTTCTCTTGCTGCCTCCCTCTAAGCCGCAGCACCCACCTGCCAGAGTTCCAATGCTGGCCTCCCAACTTGCCTTTTTTTTTTTGAAATAGAGTCTCACTCTGTTGCCCAGGCTGGAGTGCAGTGGTGTGATCTTGGCTAACTGCGACCTCTGCCTCCTGGGTTCAAGTGATTCTCCTGCCTCATCATCCTGAGTAGCTGGGGCCAAGGTGCCCACCACCATGCCCGGCTAATTTTTGTATTTTTAGTAGAGACAGAGTTTCGCCATGTTGGTCAGGCTGTTCTCAAACTCCTGACCTCAAGTGATCTGCCCACTCTGGCCTCCCAAAGTGCTGCGATTACAGGCATGAGCCACTGCGCCTGGTCCCCACTTCCTTGCTGTGTGACCTTGGTCAGTGACTTGGGCTCTTGCTACCTCAGTTTCTCCATCTGTGATATGGTGATGATAATATTTGTTCTGGCTGGGTGCGGTGACTCAAGCCTATAATGCTAGCACTTTGGGAGGCTGAGGTGGGCAGATCACCTGAGGTCAGGAGTTTGAGACCAGCCTGGCCAACATGGTGAAACCTCGTCTCTACCAAAAATACAAAAATTAGCTGGGCATGATGGCACGTGCCTGTAATCCCAGCTACTTGGGAAGTCAAGGCAGGAGAATTGCTTGAACTGGGGAGGCAGAGGCTGCAGTGAGCTGAAATCACACCACTGCACACCAGCCTGGATGACATAGTGAGACTCTGTCTAAAAAAAATTGGTTTCTATTTCATGGGGCTGTTCCAGGAACAAAACGAGTGAATTGTGTAAAATGGGGCCTGTGCACAATCAGAACATGCTAGAAGCGGCGTTGCTATTACTAATATCATCACGTTGCACTCACAGCCGAAGACAGGAGAGGCCGTGCTTGAGATGAGAGCGGGAGCTGAAACTCCAGCCCAGTCCGACCTCTCTCCTCCCCCACTTCCCCTAGAGTCCCAAGAAGTCTCTTGCTTTTAGAGGCTGTGGAGTAATGGCACTATGACACCGAGGGAGAGTCAGGGGACACATGGACAGCCTGCCCTACAAGGGTAGCAGGCAAAGGCTTTGATAACCAGGATGGGCCAGAGATGCTGGGATGTGCCTGGGTTAGGAAAACCCAGAGCGAGGCAGAATTCTGGGCCTTTATATCCAGGCGGGGTCCCCGGGGGGAGATTAGTGGGTTTCTGTATAGCCCTGGAGCTATGGGGGCAGGTTTTGGATCCAGGCACAAAGGACTTTCTCATTGTCAGGAGTGCCCGAGGAGGGCCAAAGACAGTGAAGGAAAGCGGTGCAAGCCCAGCCTCCAAGGCATGGAATCAGGGCCCAAGCCCTGTCCTCTGCAGCCCCCCACCCATGGTCTGTGATGTCCCTGCTGGGAGAGGTCTCTCTGGAGCATGGGAACTTGGGGAGTTCTTCTGAAGGCCACGGGAACTTGGGGAGTTCAGCAGAACCCTGAAATAGAGCCTGGGAGATTCAGAGCAGGAACTCTGGGTGCCTGGCTCACCCTGGCTCCTCTCCACGCCTCTTCAGTTCCCTCCACCAGGAATGGTCCTCCCTCGGAGCTGGGTATTCCCTCCTGCAAGAAGCCCCCCTTACCTGATCGAGGGAGTCTAGAACACTCTTAGTGGATTAGGGACTCTCCTGCCTGTCCCTTGTGACCACCAAGAAAGCTGGCCTGTGTCCCCAGCACCCACCCTAGGGCTGGCCCCCAGCGGCACTCAATAACTGCTAAAAAGGGATGGCTGGAGGCAAACTGCTACCCCTGCCGGGCCCCTGAGAAGTGACGGTGGAGAGATGGCAGCCCCAGAGCCCTGGGGTGACCTGGCCCCTTCCCGTCCCCCAGCCCCCTCACCTGGAGCACAATGGCTGGCACCGAGAAGATCATGGCTTCGTTGAACACCGGGTTAGGGTCGTCCCTTTTCACAGCTGTCTTCTTTTTGCTCATCTTCCTCCCATCCTGCAGCAGGTATACCTTGACGAAGGGGTCTGTGGGCAGGCGGAGGGGTGAAGGCCAGAGCCACACTCACTTGCCACAGCCCTGCCCACCCAGTCTAACTCCACCCACTGATTACAAACTCCCCAATGCTTTGCTGTTGCCGTGACCTCCTGCAGCCCCGCCCTTGGTCCTTTATTGTTTTTCCCATTTCACAGATGAGAAAACTGAGGCTCACACAGCACATCAGGTGATGGGGGGGGCGGGCTTTATGCTCAGGCAGCTGCCTACAGCCCACGTACTCCCCTCCTAGGATGCTCTGGGGATCTCAGCAGCCCTACCACTTTCCTTCTATAAATGGCCCAAGTGCAGACGTCAGCCCTGAGTCACCGGGCGCCTGCACAGCAGAGCCTGACTCAACCGTGTGCAGGTCTGAAATAACAAGCTGCCGTCTGGCCATCACCTATTGCCCACGGGGTGTCCTTGCTGCACCTGCCTGGAGCTGGGGTCCCCGCCACCCAAGGCTTGCAACTCCCAATAGGTCAGTCTCCCCAGCCCCTGTCTTCAGTTTCCTAGAATACAGCTGCATCCACAGTCACTGCTTTGGGAGGGACCTGAGGCTTCTGCAGACCTAAGGCATCAGGTCCTGCCTGGCCCCATCCCAAACCCATGGCCCTGGTCCTTGGTTGGATTCTGGGATACTGCCCTGTCTCTGAGAATGGAGCCTCCACCATGAATTCCAGTTCCAGGAAACAGATGCCGCCCTTTGTTCCCTGCCCAGTGCCCCCAGCCCTGAGTGCTGCCTTCTGCCCTCAGACCCCCCCATCACTCTGACCTCCTTCACTCTGTCCTCACAGGGGCCCCGACACCCTCCAGGGATCACATGTTTTCCCAGCCAGAGTCATCGCCCCCGTCCCACCCCCCACCCACCTGCACGGCTCCTGGCTCAGCAAAGCTGAGGGGGCCCTGGCACTGTGTCCCACACCTGCTGATGCCTCCAGGTGCCCACAGCACAGCAGCTGGCCCACAGCTTCCACTGAGCCACATGGAGGAGCTGGGTTGCCCGCTGGCCCTTACCCGCTGTGGTCTTGTCACTGGTCCAGATGAGATTCTTGGCCTTAACCACGACCACGGTGAGGCGCTCAGCTGTGGGGAGGTAGCTGAGGGAGAGCAGGATCTCCCCCACAGCGTCGGCAGCCTGGGGGACAGGCGGTGGCTCAAGGGGCTTCTCCCCACCGGACTTGAGGGGTCCAGGGAGAGCCTTGGTTGCCAGGGAAAAGCTGAGGCTTCCTTCTCCATAGAGAAGTGGTTTCCCTGGGGGCCTCTTACCGCAGGCTTCAGGCTGGCAGGGTTGAGAAAGGGACAGCCACCCACCCCCGACACTGCAGGGAGCATGCCCCATCCCTCCCTGCCTGGGACGGAGGACCAGAGGCGGCCTGTCAAATGTTGCTATCAAATGTAGTTTTGTTCCCTCATTCCAGGCCAAGGAAAACACTCCGGTAGTAATACCCAACAATCCAAGCGGAGTGGAATTAGATTCTCTGCTTAAACAACAGTGATGTTCTGTGTGCATTCCTACAATTGTAAAGCTACACTGCAGCCTGGCCTCTGCCTGAAATCATCCCCTCCAAGGCCAGAGGAATGTTTCTCCAGCAGAAGCTGAGTGGGAGAAGAACCTCTAAAGCTTTGGTGCTAAGAACAGCAAATGAGCTATAAACAGAGGTCAGGATGTTTTTGTCATTTGCCTGCAGTAAGCAGTTTCCTCAGATGTGGCTCGAGTCTTCCCTGCTCTCCTAATGATCTTGGGGTTCAGGCAGTTGCAGAGGATGAAGGAGCCCCTTTCTGGAAGTGTATGTGTATGCACACTCTTCTGTGGTGGATGAGCAGGCGGGGGCAGGCAGGTCACTTACCTTGTTCTGGTCCTGTAAATAGAGCCAGCCGCTGAAGGGCTGCAGTGGGAGGTCAAGCACAGAAAGCTTCAGCTCCACCACCCCCGTGCTGACGTTCCGCTCATCCTCGTCAATGCCAAATACAGAAAACCGCAGGCTCTTCTCCTCCAGGGCGGTGGGATCCAGGGGGATGGAGAACTTCTCATCGAAAAAGATGGAGTAGGCATTCCTCTGGATCTGCAGGACAAAGGGCCATGGGGGGGCGCTAGGAGCCTGAGAGGCTGCAGCAGGGAGAGAGCACTGGACACGGAGTCCAGAGGCCTGGGCTAGAGTCCTGGCTCTGTTGTCATGACAGCCTCAATGGCAATCTTTCCTTTGGTGGCTCAGCCCAAAGCTTTAAAAGCCTCCTAGGCCGGGCATGGTGGCTCACACTTGTAATCCCAGCACTTTAGGAGGCTGAGGCAGGCGGATCACCTGAGGTCAAGAGATTGAGACCATCCTGGCCAACATGGTAAAACCCCATCTCTACCAAAAAAAAAAAAAAAAAGCCTCCTGTCCTCTCCTCAGTGGTGGCCAATCTAGTGGCCTGGTGTTTGAAGCTCCCACAATCGGATCCCAGCTAATCCCCGTCCTCGGTGCCCATGGCACCCCAGAACCTTTAAGATGACCTGGACGAGCCAGTCTCCATCTTTCTTGCATCTGCTGGAGTCTAGCCCTAGGCCAGGCATGCAGTGGAGTGGGACAGTTGTCTGTGGAGTCACGAGCCACTGATGTCCCAGGTTCCTGTAGAGCCTGGCTCAGGACTGTTTGAACACCGTAGGCTGAATGGGTGGATGGAAGGGAGAATTAGGCAAGGTTGGGCCGACTGTGTTTTCAAGCCCAGTCCTGCCTGGTGGGCGACACACTGGCCTCCTCCCAGGAAGTCGTGGGCAGGTCCCCTGGGAAGGTACATTGCGGGCACGGCTCTCTGGGGAATAAGAGAGATGCTTTAGTCACTGCCTGTCGATATTTAAAGAAAGGCACTTTCATCCCTGGACTCTACCTGAAGCTGGGGGACTGCCTAGCTTGGAGGCAGCACCTCTTGGTGGGACTGGCCACCAGCCACCATGACCACATTCTTCTGTCACTGCCTGGGCCTGGGAAGGCTCTTCTCACAGTGCTCCCTGGGAGCCACGTTCCCTACACAATCCCTTGCTGTTGAAGGGCTCCTTGCCCCCAAGGGATAAAGCCTACCTCCTGACCTCCTGATCTCCTGACGTTGGCATTCAGGCTCTTCATGATCCCTCCTTCAGCTAAATAGCCTCTCAACTGTCCCCTGCCCAGAGGGGACTGGGCCCCTCAACCAGCCATTCTCTGAGCGTGCACACATGGATGGAGGAGGATGGAACCCTGGGTTTGAGTCTTGGACCTCCTGCTTCCTTACTGGGGTTGTCTTGGGCAAAGCACCTTCCCGAGCCTCAGTTTCCTCATCTGTAAGATGCCCTAACCATCCGTCCTGTTGGCCTCAGGGGCTAATGAGAAAATCATGGATGTGCTGGGCTCTGTGAACCAGGTTCTCAGCACACATCATGCTGTGGTGGCTGCCATCTGCCAATGTCCCTCATCAAGGAATGCATCCTGAACCACCCAGAGTCCTCTAGGCAGCCCAGGCCACAGGCAACATGGCTGGGCATGACAGAAGCTCTGCACAGTCCTGAGGGCCAACCTGCTGGGCACTGACCAGGGCTGGGCTAAGAACAGAACTTTACATGCATTAACCCAGCTCTTCCTCAATAACTATGCTGCCCATTTAACAGATGGGGAAACTGAGTCATGGGGTACTAAACTGACTTATCCAAGGTCATATTGCTAGGAAGAGGTGGAACCAGGATTTGAACCCAGGCAGTCAGGCTCCACAGTCCTGATCCTAATCACCCACCGTACTGCCTCTCAGAAGCTGGGCCACCCCAACTTGGTGCCCTAAACACGCCCTCCCTGCACTCTGGTCACAGGCTATCCCCACCCTTCAGCTCAGATGTGGCTCTGTTGGCTTGGCCCTGTGATTCACAGGGACTGGGTGCCTTCCCTGCCCCTCACATCTTATTCTCTGGCCTTCCCACTCTGCTCTGTCCCTGAGGGTTGACATCCATGGGCTGTGTCAACAGGTTCCTTTGGCCTTTAGCTTCTGGTGGGGTCACCCAGTGAAGGTCACCAGAGGGAAACTGGAGGGGAAGCCAGGTCCTTCTGTGCAGGATTGCTGCAGACTGACCATGTTCCTTGACCAAAGGGCACAGCTCCCACCGAGGTAGCCCTCTCCATACGAGGTGGCCCTCTATCCTTTTGGGCCCAGTAACCTCAACTTCCTCTCATCCCTTCAGATCTAGAGTGGGACCTCCCCTCCTGTTACACCCCTCCCGGGTACTGTGCCATCCTTGAAGTCGCCCCACATCCCACCTCGGCACTCTAAATGGTCATTATTTTCATTTTTAAAATTTATTTATTATTTTTGAGGTAGAGTTACTCTGTTGCCCAGGCTGGAGTGCAGTGGCATGATCTCAGCTCGCTGCAACCTCCACCTCCTGAGTTCAAGTGATTCTCCTGCCTCAGCCACCTGAATAGCTGGAATTACAGGTGTGCACCACCATGCCCAGCTAATTTTTGTATTTTCAGTAGAGACAGGGTTTCACTATGTTGAGGTCAGGCTGGTCTTGAACCTGTGACCTCAGGTGATCCACCCGCCTCAGCCTCCCAAAGTGCTGGGCTTACAGGCGTGAGCCATTGCACCCGACCAGTCCTGTTGGTAAGCTCTTCGCGAATTAGCCATCTTGAGTATGTCATCCCTTTTCTGCTGGAACCCTATGTTGACACAGGGCAGATTTGGACAGGGACAGTTGCCACACGCTGTATTCGCCTGGTGGGAGAGTTAAGAACTCCACACAATGGGAGCCTTCAGGTGGAGGCCCCCAGCCTCCCAGGCGTGTTCTCCCTACAGTCTGCAGCTTCAGCTTGGGGATCAGCATCCATACCTGTGCTCTAGTGCCTTTCTGGGGTCCTGCCGGGCCCCCCAGCCCTGCCTGCCTGGGAGGTGTCTAGTGAGCCCAGAGCACCCTTCTGCCTCGCCCCGAGCCCCACTTACCCGGGAAATGCCCACAATCTGCTCGTCGGGCAGCAGGCTGACGCGCATGAAGCAGGACTCGAAGCTGGCCTCCTCCCGCTCCAGGAGGTCCTTGCCCTGCAGCACCGCCACGTGCAGGGTGTGGGAGGTGGCTTCGTAGTCCATGCTCACCTCCACCTGGCCCAGTGTGAAATCCTGCCCAAAGGTATTGCTCACGGAGGAGATGGAGTTCAGGGAGTCAGCTGACTGGGACTTCCGGAGGGTCCCATAGGGCGCCAGGTCCAACTCCCGGCCCATCAGCTCCAGGGGCCCCAGTTCACTGATGCTCTCGAAGGTGTCCTCCATGCTGAGGCTGCCTTTACGGCTGGGTGTTCCCCGCGTGCTGCCCCGCTGGGTATTCCAGGCAGGCACTCTCTAGGGGTGAGAAAGAGGGACGTGGGAGCATCACGGGGCCACAGGCGAGGTCACTAGGAGACGGCACGGAGATGAGTAAGGCCTGTTCATTCACGGATCTCCAGGTTCCCCTTTCACAGAAGCCCTGCATCCCTTAGTTAGGAAGGTCCTTGTTTAATATTACCTCATGTCACTTATTTTTCTTGCCTTAACCAAGATGTAACAAAGCCTTTTCTCTGTTTCTTTTTTTTTTTTTTTTTTTGAGATGGAGTTTTTTTTTTTTTTTTTTTTTTTTTTTTTTTTTTTTATTTTTTTTTTTTTATTTTTTTTTTTTTTTTTTTTTTTGAGATGGAGTCTCACTCTGTCACCCAGGCTGGAGCATAGTGGCACAATCTCGGCTCACTGCTATCTCCACCTCCCGGGTTCAAGCAATTCTCCTGTCTCAGCCTCCTGAGGAGCTGGGATTACAGGCATGCACCACCATGTCTGGCTAATTTTTGTATTTTTAGTAGAAATAGGGTTTTGCCAGGGTGTGGTAATGTTGCTTACCAGGGTGTGGTAATGCACATGCCTGTAATGTTGGCCAGGCTGCTCTCAAACTCCCAGGCTCAAGAGAGTCCTCCCATCCTGGCCTCCCAAAGTGCTGGGACTGTAGACGTGAACCACTGTGTCCTGCCAACTTTTTCTTAATATGTTTATTTGTAGGGTCAGAATTCCATACATCAAGTTGTCGACTGCAGTGATGTTTAGAAAAAGGAAAAGCAGGTCGGCTCACGCCTGTAATCCCAGCACTTTGGGAGGCCGAGGCCGATAGATCACGAGGTCAGGAGATAGAGACCAGCCTGGCCAACATGGTGAAAGCCCATCTCTACTAAAAATACAAATATTAGCTGGGTGTGGTGGCACATGACTGTAATCCCAGCTACTTGGGAGGCTAAGGCATGAGAATCGCTTGAACCCAGGAGGCGGAGGTTGCAGTGAGCGAAGATCGCATCACTGCAATCCAGCCGGGCAACAGAATGAAACTCCATCTCAAAAAAAGGAAAAAAAAAGGAAAAGCAGCTAGTGTCCCAGAAGAAGGGGTAAGAATATGAGGAGCCAGCCATTCAAGAGGTGATGGAGCAGCCACAAGGGAAGTTTACAACACAGGAAGTTTTCACATTCAGTGACACTCATTCACATATTTAAATTTTTTTTCCCTCGGTCAGGCGGGTGGCTAAGGCCTGTAATCCCAGCACTTTGGGAGGCTGAGGAGGTGGATCACCTGAGGTCCGGAGTTCAGAACCAACCTGGCCAACGTGGTAAAACTCGATCTCTACTAAAAACACAAAAATTAGCTGGGCATGGTGGCATGCACCTGTAATCTCAGCTACTTATGAGGCTGAGGCAGGAGAATTGCTTGAACTCAGGAGGCAGAGGTTGCAGTGAGCCAAGATTGAGCCACTGCACTCCAGCCTGGGCAACAGAGCAAGATTCTGTCTCAAAAATAAATAAATAAATAAATAAATATAAATAAATAAATAATTTTTTTTGAGACAGAGTTTCATTTTCATCGCCAGGCGCCAGGCTGGAGTGCAGTGGCGCAATCTCAGCTCACTGCAACCTCCGCCTCTCGGGTTCAAGCAATTCTCCTAACTCAGGCTCCCGAGTAGCTGGGACTACA